TTTGAATAGATCCTTTGTGTTTCTTGTTAGTTTTACTCTCAAGTATTTAATCTTGTGAGTAGCTATTGTGACGGGTATTGTTTTTCTTAGCTCCAATTCTGTATAAAAGAGAGATTCAACTGATTTTTGTATGTTTATCTTCTATCCTACCGCTTTGCTGAATTGGTCAACTATGTCCAGTAGTTTTCTTGGTGAGTCTTTAGTGTTTTCTAGGTACACTATCATATCATCTGAATCTAGAGATAATTTTAGCTCCTCTTTGCCAATTTGGATGCCACTTATTTCTTTCTTTTGTCATATTGCTATCACTAAGATTTCTGATACAATATTGAATAGGAAAGGTGATGGGGGCATCCTTGCCTAGTTGCTGTACTCAATTGGGATGTCTTTAATCTCTCTGTACTGAGGACAATGTTGGCTCTTGGGTTTGTGTATATACTTCTCACTATGTTGAAATATTTTCCTCTAATCCTATTTTGTTGAGTGTTTTAATCAGGAAAGGTTTTTTAAAATTTTGTCAAAAGCCTTTTCTGCATCAATTGATAGGATTGTGTGGTTCTTATTCTTTGATTTGTTAATATGATGAATTACATTGATTGTTTTTCTTATGTTGTACCATCCTTGCATTCCTGTTATGAATTCCACTTGGTCATGGTGATTTTTTTTTTATGTACTGTTGGATTCTATTGGCCAGGATTTTATTCAGGTTTCTGAATCAATGTTCATGAGAGATATTGGCTTATCATTTTCTATTTTGGTAGTGTCTTTACCTGGCTTTGGTATCAAGAATATGGTTGCTTCATAGAATTAGTCTGGAATAATTCTTTTGCTATTTCTGAAATAGTTTATATAGGATTGGTGACAGATCATCTGTGGATGTTTGTTAAAATTAACTTATAAAACCATCTGGTCCAGAGTTCTTATTTTTGGCTGGAAGTTCTTTTATTATATTTTCAATTTTTTTTGTAGTGCATCTGTTCAGGTGCTCGATTTAATTTTGTGTCAGTTTGTTTGTGAATTTCTAAGTATTTGTCCATTTCCTCTAGGTTTTCATATTTGTTTCAGTATTGTTTTTCATATTATTCCATTGTAAGCCTTTTAATTTTAGTTGGTTCTATTGTGATGTTGCCCATTTCATCTTTTATTTGGTTTATTTGTTCCTTTCCTTCTTTTCCTTTGTTAGTTTTGCTAGTAGTTTATCAATTATATTGACCTTTTCTAAGAACCAACTCTTTGTTTTGTTGATAGTTTCAACTGTTTTTCTGTTTTATTAATTTTGCTCTAATTTTTATAATTTAAGGTTTCTTGGTGGGTGTCGGGTTTTCTTGCTCTTCTTTTTTAATTTGTTAGAGATGTTGAGTTTGAGAGTCAATGGTCATTTTTTCCCCTGCCTTTTGATGTGCTTGCTTATTGCTACAAATTGTCCACTGATTACCACCTTGGCTGTTTCCCAGAGATTTTGGTAAGTGGTACTTTCATTGTCATTTGTTTCAAGAAACTTTTTAATTTCTTTTTTTTTAAACCTGGAGAAAGGATAAATATGTTTCAAGTGTTCATGTCTTTTGTTCATAGGGTTGTTATGACTCACCTACAACTTGACAGCACATAACAAAAACAATAACACCATAGAAAAAGATCAGTTGGCCTAATGGACAGAAAGAGATGCTATCAAGCCAAAGCTGAGTGACTTAAATCAGGGGCTCTCAGGCCTGGTTTTAACACTTTTGGGTCAAACATTCCTTTAGGTCCTATAGCCCTAGTCTTTCCACTTGCTGCACAGAGGTAACTCGTTGTTGATATGAAGCTGAACACTCTGACACTGATGTGTCAAATGCAAGAATGCTTACTCATGGGTGACAGTGTTTGATGGAGCTCCCAATTAAAATAAGCTTGGAAGGAGGAGTGTAATCCACTTTCGAAAAAGCTTGCCTCCAGAAACCCAATGATCCTGCAGAAAGTATGAAAAATTTTCAAGTGTTCATGTCTTTCATTCACAAGGTATCATGAGTCACCTATGATTAGATGGCACTTAAGAACAACACACAATACCCACTCATATTCTATCAGGGTGTTGTTCAGCATCTAAATGTATAGTTGTTTCTCCTTTATCCTCTAGTTATTAATTTGTCATTAATCTGAGAAGTATCTGAGAAGATACTTTGTATTATTTCTAAGTTTTTTTAAATTTATTGTTGTTGGCCTTGTGAACTAAAATGTGACCTATTCTGGGGAATTTTCCGTGCACATTGGAAAAGAAGATATACTGTGCTTTGTTGTAGTGCATTACCCTCTAAATACCTATGAGATCGAGTTGGTTTATTATGTGGTTAAATTCTTCAGTATTTTTGTTAAGTTTCTTTCTGGTAGTTCTGTCTTTTCTTGAGAGTGGTGTATTGAAGTCTCTAACTACTATAGTACTCTTGTCTATTTCCTTTTTCATTTTTGTTAAGGTTTGTTTTATTTATTTTGCAACTCTTTCATTTGATACATAGATATTTATTATTGTTATAATCTCTTATTCTATTGACACTTTAAGAATTATGTAGTGACTTTCCCTCTCCTCACTTTAAAATTCATTGTATCAGAGATTGCTCTCACTGCTTTTCCTTTTATTAGTTGCCATTTGCTTGGTATATTTTTTTGCCATCCTCTTATTTTTAGTCTGTCTTTATCTTCATTTTTCAGGTGTGTCTCTTGTGGACAGCATCTCTCTCTTTTTTTTTTTTTTAAATATGGAACGTTTCACGAATTTGCATGTCATCCTTGTGCAGGGGCCATGCTAATCTCTGTATCGTTCCAATTTTAGCATATGTGCTGCCGAAGGGAGCACTGGACAGCATCTTGATAGATTTTAGTTTTTTATTCAATCTGCTACTCTTTCTTGCTCCAATAGTGCATTTAAAACATTCATATTCATGGTGTCTATTGTGAGGCAAGGTTTTACACTATCATTTTGTTGAGTTCTTTTTGTTGGTGTGGCTAGTTACTGGCACCTCTGAAAAGAAGGTTTTCTTTCTGTTTCTTGAAATCCTGGTCTGTTTTTACAAACTCTCTTAGTTTCCGTTTCTCTGGGAATATATTGATCTCTCCTTCATATTTGATGGGCAATTTTGATGCAGATGACCCAACTTTGCTCGCTGAAACTGAGGACCTCATGCACTTACTGCAGAGGGTCAAGGACTGCAGCCTTCAATATGGACTGAGGCTCAATGTCAAGAAAACAAAAATTCTCACCACTGGACCAATCGGTAGTATCAGGATGGATGGTGAAGTGATTGAGATTGTTCACAGCTTCAGTTTGCTCAGCTCCACGGTCAACACTCTTGGCACCAGTAGCCAGGAAATAAAAAAATGAATTGCATGGGAAAGACTGTGGTTAGGGACCTCTCTAAAGTACTCAAGAGCAATGGTGTCTCTCTGGAGATTAAGGTGTGCCTGATACAGGTAATGGTTTTTGCAATCACTTGTTATGCATCAGAGAGTTGGACAATGACTAGGGAGGATAGAAGGAGAATTGCTGCCTTTGAGCTGTGGTGCTGGAGAAGAGTATTGAATGTACCATGGACTGTCAAGAAAACAAACAGATTCATCGTGGAAAGGATTAAATCAGGCTGCTCCTTGGAGGCAAGGATTCTGGGGCTTCGCCTGACATATTTTGGACATGTTCTAAGAAGAGACAGGTCTTTAGAGAAGGACATCATACTGGGTAGAGTAGAGGGACAGAGCAGAAGGGGAAGACCCTCTATGAGGTGGATTGATTCAGTGACTGGGGTAATCGGGATGGGTGTGTCAGAGGCAATGAGATTGGCACAGGATAGAGCACGGTTTAGGGCTGTTGTACATAGGGTCGCTATGAGCCGCAAACGACTCGACCGCACATAACAACAACAACAACAACAACATAATGTTCTTGGTTGACAATTGTGTTCTATAACTGTTTGATAATGTCACTCCTCAGTCTTCTTGCTTGCATGGTTTCTTCTGAGAAATCAGCAGCACTTCGGCTCATCTACTCTTCCTTATACGTTACTCTTTGTTTCTCTCTTGCTGCTTTCAGAATCCTCTCCTTATTTTTGCTTCTGGAAAATTTGACTATGATGTACCTTGGTGTTTTCCTTTTGGTGTGTATTCTTTATGTTGTTTGCTCAGCTTCTTGAATATATATTCTCTCATTCTTCATTATTGCTGGGAAGTTTTCATCTACTAATTCTTCCGTAACTTTTCTGATTTCTTTACTTGCTTATTCCTGTTCTGGGATTCTGATACTGTGCATGCTATTTCTCTTGATGGTGTCCCACATTATACTTAGGTTTTCTTCTTTTTCCTTCTCTTTGGATTCTGCATTGTTGCTCTAGCATATCAGTGGTGATAATTCTATCTTCTGTTTCACTGGTTCTGTGTTCCATCTCTTCAACTCTGTGTATATGTCCCTCCATCATGTTGACAGCATCTGAGACATTGGACCTCATACTGTGGATTGTGTTTTGTTTGTTTGTTTGTTTGTTTGTTTTTCCAGAGCCTCTACTGTCTTGTGTTGTGTTTTTTTTTTTAATCTGTGTTGTTTTGATTTTTTTTAAGATCCTCCTGGTTTTTGTTTGCAGTGTCCTGTAATTCTTCAAGTTTGTCTTTCACTCATAGAATATATTCGATTATTTTTCTTTTGAATTCTGTATCAGAAAGTCCCATCAGATTTTCTGGTTTCATGAAATCCATTGATATTATTTTTCTATTTGAGGGGTGAAATCTTGCTTTGGGCTTGTTTAGGGTGTGATATAGCCTGCTTCTTTTATGACATTGCCGTGGTAGAGATTTTCATGCCTGAGGCAATGATAGGTTCTTGATTTGAAGTGAATGTTCCAGAAGAGGACGGAGCAGGAAAGTTTCAGTTGAAGCGTGCAAAAACAGCCTCTTTTGTTTATAAGTGTTGCAGAGGAAGGCTTTCCAAAATAAACACAGTTAGCTGTCTAGACCTGAGGAGATGCAAGGCAGAGTATAGAAGCATGGACAGGGGCACAGGGAATGGGCATGGGTATGGGGCATACATGCAGGGTGCAGGGTACAGGGTGTAGATTGCAGTGCAGGGCACAGGCCTGGACATGGAACATGAACACAAACTCATGCAGAGCACAGGGTATGCACGCAGGTGGACACTGGGTGCTTCAAGGGCCAGCATACAAGCAAAATTGCACTGTTTAGGCACGAGAGAGAACCTTCTTTGGTTTCCAGCTGTCAGTCCCACCTTAAGCAGCCCACTTTTGGTGGCACGCTTCTGAAAGCCTGGTTCATCCTTGCTCTGGTCCATCCTTACGCCCTCAAATCCTCCTCACTTTCAGCAAGCAATTGTGTCATCTAGTAAGTTGATGATGAGTCTCCTTGGGAATGTGATGCCACATTCTTCTTCATGAAGTCCAGCTTCTTAAGTGATTTACTTAGCACACAGTTTGAATAGGTATATAGAGAAGATGTAACAGTGATGTATATCTTTTTTTTAAAAAAAATTTTTTCAAACATTGTATTCCCTTGCTCTAATCAGGCAACTGCCTCTTGCTCTAGGTATAGATTTCTAGTGAGCACAGTTAAGTGCTTTTTAGTAACTTCCATTTGAGCTCTACCTCTAATATTATAACTATTCATATTATTCTATTGTTCATAAGGTTTTTAGAGGCATTCTATTTGAGAAGAGGATGCATTGCATCCTAGTCAATCTTAATGTAGGAATTCTGCTGAAGCATGTTCACTATGGATGATGCTTTTGGAATTCAATACACCAGTAGCATAGCTTGTTCCATTAAATACTGGTCATATTATGACCAATGTTAAAATTCTTACTTTTTATAATATTAGAGAAATCCCACATGTCAAGATGATCCAATCATATAGGCTAGCTCAGTATCCAGTATCTATAAGAAAGTATTTATTTTTATTAGTAGTAAAATTTTAAAATGTTTGCGTGGCACTGCAAATTAAAAGGTAATTATTAAACAAAGCATTGGTATTTTAGAGCATCCTGGTAGTTTTAATCACTTTACAAGTATTAATTTATATTATTCACTCAAATCTGTAGGAGTAGGCATCAGGTTATTGTTTTCTCCATTATTTTCTCCACAGGGGGAAACTGTGGTACAAATATCATTTCTTGATTTCATAACATTATTCAGGGATATGCATATAATTAGCTTTTAAAAACAGAAAATAGCTCTACTAAAATGTTGTGCTAACCACTCTACATAATATGTTTAATTTATTTCTGTTTTCTAGTAAAGCTCTCCAATTTTAAATTGTTGCTGTTGCTATCATGGGCTATCAAATCAGAACTGACCCATAACTGACCTTCCAGCAGGTTTTCTGAGGTTTTTAAACTCTCACAAGGATATTGCCCATCCTTGTTCCATGGAGTAGCTGGTGGATTCTACCACATGCCTTTGGGATTGCAACACAGCTTCTTGCCACTAGAAAATTACACTATTTTTAATAAATTACTAAAGCTAAAGAAAATTAAAACAAATCTACAGGAAACAAAATTTGATGCCCCTCAAATTGCAAAACCATCTCTGGAGTTTGAGACTTTGAACACTCACTCATAAACAAAGACCAGATGAGCTTTTTGAAAGATATTAAGAGTATTATCCATGAAAAATGCAAAAAGTTATTAAAATGACTGAAGAATATACTGTTTTCAAGAAAAATGTGTAAATAAGCTAGTAGGGGATAAAAAGACTGAAGAAGAAGAAAAAGAAAAGACAGAGAAGTATGTCAGATGATAAGACTCTGCCTGTTGCACTAGAGTGTCAAGAAGCCAAAACAAAGGGAAGAAATCAAGAAATTAAGGAGCTGAACAGAATACTTCAAAAGGGCAGTGTTAGAAGACAAAGAATTATACTGAAATGTGCAAAGAGCTAGTCATAAAATCAAAAGGGGTGATCTCACTCAGCATTTCTTAAGCTCAAGAAACTTAAAAACATATTTAAGCCTAGAGTTCCAATACATAAGGATGCTGTAGGCAAAATATTAAATGTTCCAAGAAGCATTACAAGAAGATGGATAGCGTAGACAGAATAAAAATTAATTGGCTGACACAGAAGAATTTCATTAAACAACATGTGAGCAAGAGCCTGTGATGATAAAGAAGTTCAATCTGCTCTGAAAGAATTGTCAAAAAACAAGGCCCAAAGGATTGACGGCATACCAATTGATATATGTCAACAAGCAGAAACGGGACAAAATACATATGTACTTAACAAATTGTGCCAAGAAATCTGGAGGGTAACCACCTTGCCAACTGACTGGAAGAGATTCATAATTGTTTTAATTCCAAAGAAAGGTGGCCTGACAGATTGCAGAAATTATCAAACATAATCATTAACATCACATGCAAGCAACATTCTACTGTAAATGATCAAAAAATGACTGGAACGGTACACTAACACAAAACTGCTAGATGTGCAGGCTAGATTTAGAAGAGGCCATGGTTTTAGGGATACGATACGTAATGTTAAATGGATTTTGGCTGAAAGCAGAGAGAACCAAAGGAATGATTTTCTGTGTTTTATTGACTATGTAAAGGCATTTGACTCTGTGGATTACAACAAACTGTGTCTAACTCTGAGAAGAATGAGTATCCCAGAGCATTAATCATGTTTATGCAAAATCTACAGTTGGACCAGGTAGCAGTCATCCGAACAGAGCAAGGAAACATTGTATGGTTCAAAATCAGGAAGGGTATATGCCAGAGAGGTGTCCTATCTCCATACCTTTTAAATATATATGCGTAATAGATCAACCGGGAGGCTGGGAACTAAAAGGAAGTACGTGGCATCAAGATTGGGGAAGAATCATCAACAATCAGTGTTATGGAGATGACACAAACCTGTCTGCTGCAACGGAGGAATATCTTAAGTGCATGTTCCAAAAGGTCAAGGACTACAGCCTTAAATATGTATTGAAGCTCAATATTAAGAAAACAAAGATTGTCACACTGGGCCCTTCATTATAGGCAGTGAAGAGGATGAGATTGTTAACACCTTTTGGTTGCTTGTCTCCACAACCAACACTCTTGGTACCAGCAGCCAAGAAATAGAAAAAAAAATTGCATTGATAAAGTCTGCTGTTAGGGACATCTCCAGAATACTGAAGAGCACCCATGCCAGTCTGGAGACTAAGGTGTGCCTGATCCAGGCCATAGTCTTCACAATTCCTTGATATGCATCAAAAAGCTAGACAATGAGGAGGGATGATAGAATAATTGACGCTTTTGAGCTGTGATGCAGGGGAAGAGTATTGAATATACCATGGACTGCTAGAACAAACAGGTTCATCCTAGGAAGGGTGAGATTAGGCTACTCTTTGATAGCAAAGATTCCAAAGCTTCGTCTGACATGCTTTGGACATGTTACAAGGAGGGACCAGTCTTTGGAGAGGGACATCATGCTTGGGAGGCTGGAGGGACAGTGCAAGAGAGGAAAACCCTAAATAAGAGGGGTGGATTCAGTGACTAAGATAATGGGGTTATTGTCAGAGACAATAAAGTTGGCATAGGATAAAGCAGGATTAAGAGCTATTGTATATATTTGGTGTATGCATTTCTATGGTACATAACGACAACTATTGCTTTTGTGATCAATATAGCTGGGTAGGATGTTGCTATTGTTTATTGTTGTCAAGTTAAGCATGACTTATAGTGACTCTATGAACAAAAGACCTGAAGCCCCTCTATAACTATCGTCTTATTAAAAGTTCATAGTTTCCAGAGTCATGTAATTTAGGAAGGTTGAAATTAGTTATGGAATTACAAAACTAGAGTTGTTAGTTGATTTTAGGTACAACCAAGTTGAGTACAACTCGTAGCAACCCTATGAACAATAGATCTGAACCATGTCCTGTCTTGTGCCATCCTCACATTTCCTGACACTCTAGAGCCCACTGAAGAAATAACTGTAACAATCCACCTAGTTGATGTTCATCTTTTTTCCCTCACTGACCCTCTGACTTTCTGAACATGATGTCCACCTCTAAGGAATAATCCCTCCTAGCCACATGCCAAAAGTCACTCAGGATGCACTTTCTCAAAGACGTATTTGTTTGATTTTTTTTTTTTGTAGTCCATGGGATATTCAGTATACTTCTCCAACACCAGAGCTCAAAGACATCTATTCTTCGGTTATCTTCACTCTTTGTGGAGCTCTCCGATGCATAACAAATAATCAGAATGACTATGGCCTGAATCAGAAACATCTTAGTCCTCAAACCAACATCACTGCTTCTCACTTAAGTCCCTAATTGCAGACTTTGCCAGTTCAATATGTCCCTTGATTTCCTGAGTGTTGGTACCATGGATGTGATTGTGGACCGAAGTCAAATGAAGTTGTTGAAAGTTTCAAACTTTTCTCCATCTATTATTAGGTTGCCTATTGATGCAGCAGTAAGATTTTTTTTTGTTTTCTTCATATTGAGATGCATTCCATTTTGAAGGCTGTATTCTTTGATATTCTGGAGCAAGTGTTTCAAGTCCTCCTCACTTCCAGCAAGCAAGGTTTTTCCATCTGCATAATGCAGGTTATTGATGAGCTTCACTTGATCTTAATGTCACATTCTTTTTCATAGAATCCAGCCTTTCTGATGATTGCAAAGCATACAGATTAAATAAGTATGGAGAGAGAATACACCTCTGGTGCACTCCCTTCTTAATTTTAAATCATGTGATGTTCCCTTTTTCTTTGGTCTAAGTATAGCTTTCACATAAGTATAATTAAGAGTTCAGGGACTCTCATTCTTATCAATGTTAGCTATAACTTGTTGTGATCTACACAATCATATACCAGTGCATAGTTACTAAAGGATAAATAGACATTCTTCTGTTATTCCTTACTTACAGTCAAGATCGGTCTGATATTTACAACGATATTCCTGGCCTCACAGCCTCATCTAAAAACAGCTTGGACTTCTGTCATTTCCTTTTCTATGTAGTGTTCTAGCCATTTTTTTCATTGAAATAAGTTATTTGATATCCACTGATTCCCAAGAACTTTTTTTTTTGCAAATGCCTTAAGTGCACCTTCTAATTCCTTCTTCATTATCATTAACTCCTGTTTATATGATACTTCTGACATTTTTCAGTGTCAATCAATTCTTTCTGGTACAATGATTCTGTGTCTTCCCTCCCTCTTCTTTTGATCCTTCCAAGGTAATTCAATATATTCTCCAAAGCATCTTCAAACATTGTGACTCAAGACTTATATTTCTCAGTTCTCTCAGCTTGAGATATTAGAACAAGTGATTTTAGAGTCTCTTTTGACATCCACTTAAGTTGGCTTGGTTTTTTGTTTTGTTTTGTTTTGTTTTATTTTGTAATGAAGATATGAATATCATCCAACAATTTTTCTGATCTTTATCATTGGTGTTCAGTGCTTCAATCCTATTTTTAAGATAATTTTGAAATTCAAATGGAATAGATTCAAGAGCATATTTTAGTTCTCATGGATATGTTTTAAATTTTTTTGAGGGGCTCAATTTGAACCTGCACATGAGTAATTGATAGTCTGCCCCCACTGTCTACTCCTGCTGGACTGATGATATTGAGTTTCTCTAACAGAGAAAATTCCTTCTACAGATCCATTCAATCTGATTTCTATTCAGCCTATCATGTGAGATCCATCTGTAAAGTTGTCGTTTGTGCTTTTAAAAAAAGTTATTTGTGATGAATAAATCATTGAAAATAAAAAAAAATTGAATTATTGTCTGATTTTCATCACCAAACCCATGTTTTCCAATTATTATTCCTTCCTCATTGTGTCCAATGTTTCATTCCAGTCACCAGTTATCACTAACACATCCTGATTGCATGTCTGGTCAATTTTAGACTAAACTATTTGGTAACAATTTTTAATTTCTTCCTTTTTGGCATTAGATGTAGAATCATTTATTTGAATAACAGCAGGCTTTCTTTTCTGTGTGTAAATAATATCTAATCACTCACAATAGTGTGTTTTAAGATAGAACTTGAAAATGACTTTTTTACAAATGTATTATTAAATTTTATTAGTTTTAATGAACATTTACAGAGATTTTGGGTTCTCATTCATTCATTGTTGCACTGGAAAATGACTTTTTTAACTGTGAATGCAAAACTATTCTAGTGTTTATCATTCCAAGCGTAGTATATAATGTGATTATCTGATTCAAAGTGGCCAAAGATAGTCTATCTTATCTCATTACTGTTTCAAATGATGATGTTCATGTTCTTCATTTCATTTTTCACAGTTTCTAATTTTCTAATACTCAAACTTCATACATTCCATGCTCCAACTATTAAAGAAGATTTGCCATTATTTTTCCTCATTTTGACTGACTTCATCTAGGCTCTACCAGTAGTACTATAACTATTCACATTTCTCTACTGTTCATAGGGTTTTCAGAAGCCTGTTTAAGAAGTAGATGAATAATTGTACATCTTAGTCTATCTTAATCTGAGAACTCTGCTAAAACCTGTCTACCATGGATAACCTTTGTGGTATTTGGCATACTAGTAGCACAGCTGTCTATCACAGCAACCTACAAGTTATCTAGGTACAGCAAACTAGCAGACAGGTACTGTACCAATTAGAACAATGTTCTCCTCAAACACAACAAACTGACAATCTAGTTTGTGCTTGTAATAACAAATCAGATTTCATGTAAATTGGCTTTCACAAAGGCCAACTCCCCCCTCAGGTACTAATTGGTTTAAATAAGTTTTGGTTTAAACAATGCAATTGTTTACTTACATTTAAATTGTTTTACACAAATTTAATTAAATAAAAAATGACCAACGACAAAACAACTATGAGATATCATCTCACTCAAGTACAAATAGTAAAATTTAACAGAACAGCACACAGAAAATGGTTGAAATGTTGTGGAGAAACTGGAACCCTTATTCACTGTTGGTGGGAGTGTAAAATGGTGCAACCACTGTGAAAAGCAGTTTGACACTTTCTCATAAAGTTGGAAATAGAAATACATTTGACCCAGCAATTCCACTACTGGGAATATACCATATAGAAACAGTAAAAACCACCCAAACAGATATGTTTATTGTGGCTTTGTTCACAATATCAAAGAGTTGGAAACAACCCAAGTGCTCATCAACAAATGAATAGATAGAAAAACTGTGGTATACTCACACAATGGAATATTATGCTGCATTGAATAACAAGGAACTCATAAAATATTATACAAAATGGGTGACCGTGGAAGGCATTATCCTGAGTAAAATATTTGAGTTACAAAAAGACAAATATGGCATAATGTCACTGTTATAAACTAGGACTGACATGGGGCTAGGAGAAACTAAGAAAAGAGCATTAAAACAACATTGAAACAGACAACGGATAGACTGTATAAAAGAAATATATGATTAGGTATTATTGGCATGACGAGAGTCCAGAATAAGAGCTGCATAGTAAAGTGGTCTGGGGTTGGGGTGGGTGTCTGCATAACAATGAAATAATTTTTCCCAAAGAAAAAGCCATGGGGCTGGGGGGAGGGAGCGGGCAGGGAGGAAAATGTGCAACAATGAACGATTGAAATCCCACGTTCTATATAAACTTTCACTAAAATCTCAATTAAAAAATTTTTTTTAAAGACCAAAGAGCCTACACCTGATTGTTAATTAAATAAAGAAGACCTACTAGAACATGAATGATTGTTAAACAAAGAAAGAAACCTCCCTTCCAAAGTACAACTGCTTCAAACAAACTGGAGAGTTAACTAAAAATTAGGTCATAAAAGCTTTTCAGGTGTTGTTTTTATCTCAACCACTACTATTAGTTGTAGTTGTTGTTGATGTTGTTCATTGTCTTCAAGTCAAGAACATCTCATAGTAACCTTTATGAACGAAAGGCCTGAAGCTCCTCTACAACTATTGACATCTATAAAAATTCAGAGTTTCTGGAGGTGTATTATTTAGGAAATGGATGCCACTCCTGCTTAGTAAGAAGAGTGAATTATTTTCAACACATATGAAAGAATTTATTTTTAAAATATTTTAAATAACAGAAGACACAGTATTATTGATAACTTGTTGTAAGTAACTTGAAATAAAACATATCACAACATATTTGAGAATATTCTTGTTGTTGTTGTTTTGTTTGGGGATATTTATTGCCTTGTTTTTTTGTTTTGTTTTGTTTTGTTTTGTTTTGTTTTGTTTTGTTTTTTGTTCTGGTGGCTTACTGAGAAGGAATTTTGCTGCCATTATAAAAGTACACGGTTTGATTCTATGAGCTCCTCTGAGGGAGAAAGAACGGTATTCTCTTCAAGTGTGATTTACCTTCTCTGTAAACTCATTGGAGGGCCAGCTATTTGTCAACTCCAACTCAACAGTACATAACACCACCAGTGTGATACATGTGTCCAATAGTATTTTCTAAGAAGTAGATTAAAATAGACCTTAAAGTGCACATAATACAGGGTACAAGAGAAATATTTTTTTAACTGACACAGCATAAAATGTTTAATTGTTTTTATTAAGAAGTGTAGAGTCGAGTGCGGGCCCGTGGCTGGGAGCGGCGGTAGTGAGACCAGAGCTGCACGCTCCAGCTCCCCTTTTCCCTCCTTGGTTTCTCTCCACTCCCCTGAGTAACTTGGCTCCAGGGGCTCCGCTCTCTCGCCCACCCGCCCGCCTGCCGCACACCGCCGAGGACCGCGCCACAGGCCACCGCCGCCAGCACCCCGCTTCCAACGGTCTTCGCTGCACAGGCTGGACGCCTCTCCCCCCTCCGCCCCGCCGCGGAAAGTAAAGTTTGAAGAGAGGGGGGAAGAGGGCCACCATGGAGAGAAGGATCCACTTGGAGCTGAGGAACCAGACCCCGGCAGCTGTCCGAGAATTTGTTCTGGACAAC